AAGCTGCTCTGTACATTTTATGTTTGAATATAAGAAAGTTGAAATATTGTAGTAAAGGTAATAAAGCACCACATTGTTTTATTTCTTCAGGTCTTGTCACCGTTCAACATGCAGTCACGATTCTCAGCCCTTCTGTGGCTTGAAGAGCTTCATGCAGAAAAGGAAGTTAAAGAACTCACAATTAGTGGAGCACTTCTCAGGAAAGGAGCTGCCTCTTTGCACCTCGAGGTGCTCGGATTGTCTGAAGGCAGACCTAATCTTAACATCGGTAAAGTGGCCCAAGATGTCTTTCCTTCAAGTTCATGTTTTTAAAAGTTTTTTTTTTTTTGAAGTTCATAATTTGACAAACTTTTCTCTAAAGGTGACAGAGTAATACTAAAGAAACCCCGCGGTGATGGAGTGATATTGGAGTTCGTTAGTTGTGTTACAGAGGTATGGAGGGTTTATCGTTGGGAGCATCTTCTCAGACATTCTTTTTGAATATGATTTAATCTTATTCTTTGTTACTGATACTTAGATTAATGACGAGGACGTGGGTTTGAGGGTAAATTCCGACTTTCAGCACAGCTATGTTGGTGAGCCACTTGATGTTGAGTTCACCTTCAACAGGTGAGGGAAAAAGTTAATTTATTTGCTTAAGACTGTCTTTATAATGTCCTAAAGAGCTTGAAAGTGTTTTTATTTCTTTCCTCATTAGGTTGACTGTGAGGCGATGCCACAATGCACTGGAACAGTCCAAACACTTTGAAGAAAGTATGTTTTTAATATATTTATATATTTAATATTTTATGTTTAACATATTAAAAAAAGTTTTACTGTAAGTAATGAACAGTAATAAATTGAGACAACTCTCCTACAGCAGCAGTTTTTAATAATTGTGTAATTCATTACGTGGTTAAATTACAGTAAAACTGACTTTGTATAGCAAAACAGTTTTCATTTTAAAAATCCCTTTTAAAAGAGAATTATGCTGTCGTAAAATGTCCACAAGGGGGTGCTTTTTGTATTAAAACTTTTGAGGGAAGAATATCAGTGCTTATAAAGAAAAGCTTCATATTTTGTTGCTTTCCTGTTTACCTGTTTATTAGAATAATTTGACATTCATTAGAAAGATGTAATTAAAGGTCTTACCAAAGTCTTTCCTTCTAGAGTAAGAATATTTCAAGATGAGTTGATTTTAGTTTATAAGAGTTTAAACCCTTCTTGTCAAATCTTGAAAATAATGTGCATAATTGCTTTTGACCTCCTCATTTGGCTGCATTAAATCATGAATTTAAAACTTATTTAAAATCTATTTTTATATATAGCAAGTCTTAAAAATAGTTTATTTTGAATTAATTCTTAAAGAAGTCATTGGCCGGCTGGACTGAATTCACCTGTGAGCCATATGTGGCCTTTGAGCCGCCAGCTGAATATCGCTGATCCTGGCTATAAATGTTTTAATGTACAATATATTGACTCTTGTCCCTCCATGAATAAACAATGATATGCAAATATTTTACTAACAATACAAACTATCAAGCTCACATGGTTGCATTAACCACTGCTGTTTAAAAGCATGTGATGATTAAAAATAGTAGTAATTGTAGATGCAGGGCCACAAAGACTTTCAGCAAATTGTTCATTTATGTTGTACCAAATAGGACATATTGATACTTTATAAATATTAAATATATATAATAATCATTTAAACATGGATCAGTTGGACTACAGATCTCATTGGTGTCCTTTTTGTGTTGTAGTTTTCTTTCCCTCCAGAGTGACACTTCAGACCCCTCAGTGGACTGTAAAATGGAAAGATGAGGTAGATAAAGCAAAGAAAGGAAGACGATCTGCCAAATTGAAACTAGCAATGCATAAGCTTAACACATTTAGATTTAAATCTATGCAAACATATTTGTGAACCAGAGTCCAGCGACTGAAGATGAGCGAGTGTCGAGTGCTTCCATTGACACCGAGTCAAAGGCCACACAAACAAAAGTCACAGGTATTTTTTTCAAGTGTTCCCCAGAATTTTATCAGATAAGAATATTTGTAACAACTGTCAACTTTTTACTTTTCTAGATGGAAAACTGGCATCTAAACCCATCCCCAGCAAAGGACAGTTCTTCAACCTGGATCTTAACTCCTGTCAGAAAGAGGCAGTGAAGAATATCCTGGCAGGAGAATGTCGACCTTTACCTTATGTGCTCTTTGGGCCTCCAGGAACTGGAAAGACTATCACCCTTATTGAGGCCATACTGCAGGTGTGTACATACATGTTTTGATTGTCTGAAAGTACCTGGTTATTTAGAATGAATGTCTTTTAATGAATGATCCATAGTTCAATATGAGTAGAGGGAGCCCCACCAATATGTGCTACAGAAGCTAATATCTGCTTGCCAAATCAATAATTAACAGGGATTATGTCAGCTTCATAAGCTAATTTTAAACTGTTAGCTTCAATTCTGGTTGAATCACATTCAGGTTGAGGTAAATAAGATAAAATTTGCTTGCTTGTGAAATGAGATGTTTTTCTGTTTCTCTTCTGTTTGTACATCCATAACTTGCTCAGCTTTCTGGCATTTTAAGACATTAGATATTTTTTTAAATTAATTTATTTCACAATAAAAAATTCATAAAAGAGAAGAATAAAATAAAACAAAAAAGAATAGAAGTGTCATAATTATGTTACAAAAAAGCAGATGTGAAGGAGAATATCCAAAAAACCCTCAAGGGGCTTAAGCGGCAATCTCCGAAAAAGAAATAACAAAAATTACATAAATTTAAAAGAATCCAAACATTACAAAAAATAAAACACTATATAAACAGCAAAAAAATAAGAAAAAAATTACTTTCAATAATCAAAGCCATAAGGGAAACCAGAACAACTTAAGAGTAACAATCTGATTCTTCGCTTAAAAATCTCTTTGGAAACTTCCATGAGAGATCCTGGAAGACTGCTCCATATCTTTGACCCTCTACATAAAACACTAAACTGTGTTTGAGATAGCTTATATACACTCAAGTATATATACATTTTTTTGTTATTCTTAATGGTTTTTACAATTTTTACATAATTAGCCCTTAATGTTTGCGATTTTGCCAGTATGTACACTAATCCAAATTCAGACACTTGCCTAGTCTTAATATTCAACGTTGCTACAGTAAATCACAACTCCTTGTGACCAAAACACACTCTAGCTGTATTATATTACTCCATGGAATGATCATGTGTTGTGTCCTAATAGTCTGGAGTTTTCCAACCACTTCCTGATTTTGAATTGAATGTCTACCAAGGAAAACTGAGCCTTATGGAGAAACCTACTTTTGTTACTTTGACTTAAGTACAGTATAATCATAATGTTTTCCTCTACTTCTGTAATATTTCAATTCCCTCCACCCTCAGGTGTACCACTTTCTGCCCAGCAGTCGGGTACTTGTATGCACTCCATCCAACAGTGCTGCTGACCTCATCTGCATACGTCTCCATTATAGCGGCTTCCTGCATGCCACAAGCCTGGCTCGAGTCAATGCATCCTGCAGGGGAAACGAAGTACTGAACATTTTAGTTCAAATGTTACACATATGAATAAGTATGACAGGTGGTATTCATGATGCCGTATGTCTTAATGTGCATTTGTTTCAGTATTTTGACCTTTTTATCTTGAATCAATAACAGATCAACATACTTGTTCTTCCTTAGTCTATTCCAGAAGTGCTGCAACCTTACTCGAAGGCTGGAGAAGACATCCGCCAAGCTGCTTTCCACAGGATTGTGGTCAGCACCTGTTCCAGTGCTGGCATGTTTCATAGTATTGGAATCCAGTAAGGCCTGGGTTGCAGAAGGGCTTTAGCTGTTTGTATTTCCCACTTAACAATTCACTATTTGCAAATAGTTTTTTTTTTCTTTTCTTTAGAGTGGGACATTTTACTCATGTGTTTCTGGATGAAGCTGGTCAAGCCACAGAGCCAGAGTCTCTGATTCCCATCAGCTTCGTGTCTGAAAAAGATGGACAGGTCAGCACTAAAGTACCTGCTCGTGGTATAGTACCAGTTGTTTATCAGGGGATCACAATTTATCCTAAATTTATTATTATTATTATTTCTGCTCAATCAAATCACCCCAAATAGATTTTTATGTTGACTTGTTTTGTCAAACTGGTAAAATATTTCAAAATCAGTATACTATAATTAGTGAATGAATGCTAACTTGCCATAGATTTGCTTTTGAGAATTTTACTGTTTTATGTTTGCCCTGCTTAGATAGTGCTGGCTGGAGACCCCTGCCAGTTGGGTCCAGTAGTGAAGTCTAAGCTGGCCTCTGCTTTTGGTCTCGGGGTGTCTTTGATAGAGAGGCTGATGTCCAACCCGCTGTACAGCAAAAAAGACTGGGGCTACAACCCAAAACTGGTTGGTGCACTGAATACAAAAGTTTATGTAATATGTTGACATTTTATCTTACATTCGAGTGTTTGTATGAATGTTTTTATTTTTATTTTTAATTTTGCAACAGGTGACTAAGCTAATCTTCAACTATCGCTGTCATGAGGCTCTGCTCGCTCTGCCCTCCAAGCTGTTCTACCAGGGAGAGTTGTGCTTTAAAGCTCCACGGGATGTTGTGGAGTCCCTCTGCCAGTGGAAAAGCCTTCCCAGAAAAGGCTTCCCGCTCATTTTTCACGGAGTCAGGGTAATGATGATTTTCTAGGAACATGCCTGTGAACTAGCAGGTTTTATGACCTGTTTGGTTTCAGAAACAAAGTACTCAACTACTTAAAGCTCCTCATTAATTAAATACAGCTGTAAGGCGTTACCCTGATACCCTGTCATACCTTGTTGCTTGGGATAGATGGCTCATAGTTCATTTTGTAACTCTTCCCTCAGGGTACAGAAATGAGGGAAGGCAACAACCCATCATGGTTTAATCCAGCAGAGGCTGTGCAGGTCATGCTCTACTGCTGCCAGCTGGCAAAGAAGCTCTCCAATCCTGTTAACACCTCTGACATCGGCATCATCGCTCCCTACAGAAAACAAGTAGGACTGGTTGTTTCTTTTAAAGGGCCACTATTATGTGTTTCTCAGACATATAGTTCAATTCTATACCATAATAAAGTAACTATGTCACCCTCAGTTATGAAAAAGCTGTTTACCTATAAATTAAAAATAAAATTGACTTCGCATCATATCCATTTCTAAACTCATTGAAATTGGCCTTATGGCCTTAAGGCTGGTTTATACTAGTTTATAGAGGTTGTGGCTCTGCGCGTGTGATTGGTTCAAAGTTTGTGGGCGCTTTTGTTTGGTGTATCACTCCGCTACCCGGTATTCGCTTCCAGAGGCCGGTTTTTGTTTGTAAACATGGGTAGTTACGAAGAGAAACCGGCCGAGGCGGACCGGAGATACAAACATCTGTATGACTTCTCTACTGCGGAGTACAAGTAATGCCAAAAATTGCAAAAAATTCATGGAGGGAGATTGCAGAAATGTTGCAAACAGAGGAGGCTGTCTGCCGCAAACGGTGGCGGACTCTCCGTGACCGGTTTGCAAAGACCAAACAGAGAAAGCAGGTCTGGAGCGGTGATCCTGGCGGGACCAATCCAGTTCCTCGTTATTTCTTTTTTACCCCTTTTTAAAATTTTTTGCTGGACATACATTAACACCGGGGGGACGACAACAAACATGACAACATCCGACACAACAGACTCACAAATCGTGGTAATAAAACACCCTCGCTAGCCTACTTTTTAGAGAAAATTAAGTGATTTATTACAGAAGCTTAAATATAAAATCACGCTTGTGTTGCTTGACGTATGTGGTGGGAGGGCAGAGGGAGGGATTACTATAATGTCTCCCCCATGTCTTTTCCAAGTATAAACACTCAATGCAGTCGGTGACACAAACGCAATTACGTCATCGCTGGGCTGCAGCCGCATGTCTTGCATGAAGTATGAACAAACCTTCAGTCTCTTTAAGAACCTCCTACTTCTTCTGTCACGCCCATTTCAGCACATCATCACAACAGCTTCACGCCATTTACAACCGGTCTTAAGAGATTTGTATTTTGTTGTAATAATAATAATAATAAAGCAGCACCATTATACAATATCAGTTTTGGAAAATGGCAACTCACGATACTGGAAAGTACATTTTCTGAAGAGATGGAGCAATTGCAGAGACAATGTTTGGCATCTGAAAATACATTTACTCATTTTGTAATCTGAAAAGAACTGGACTGAGAAGTATTAGGAGCTCAGCAGACGTTCAGTTTCACCAAGTGTTTGCTAGTTGTTGCTGCTGATAGCCTGCAGGAGTCATGGGAGAGGCGTGCTCTGTGATGAGGAAGCTCGGGTTGGAGACACAGCCCAGAGGAGGAGCTGGTCCTAAAAGGTGGTTCTAGTCCTAACCTGTTGTTTTTGCTCCCCTGCTTGGCTGCCTCAGGACAGGACAGGATTTCTCAAACATGCATGAATGAGTCAAAGACAGACTCTGGGCATGTTTTTGATGAGAGGAAAATATAACATGATTTAAGTTTATTTTACATGATATTGTCCTTTTAAGGTAGACTAACAGCATTTTAAATTTAGGGGTTTTAAAGTTTTCCTGTTGTCTTATTATCTAGTGTGAGAAAATCCGAATGCTGCTGTGTAAAGTGGGTTTGTCTGAAATCAAAGTGGGCTCAGTGGAGGAGTTCCAGGGACAAGAGTTTCTCGTCATCATCATGTCAACGGTAGGTTAAAACATACTTTGGGTGATAAAAGTGCTGAACAATAAGTTACGGGTCTGTTTTTATGAAGGTTTTATGCCAGAGTGTGTGATTTAAAAATACACACAAACAGATTTTACTTAACTTGTTGGCACTTGTGTAACTTGAGAAGCTGAAAACAGTGTTTCTTCAGTAGTTTAGAGTACAGTTTGTTAATGTAACTATTAGATGCTTTCTTTGCTAGATTTAGTTACCACAGGTGTCTGATTTCCAACGTAAAAAAAAGCACAAAACTGCAGAAATTCTAGTTTTATTATCACAAGTTTAGTTAGTTATATTTTACTAAGTTCATCAGATGTGTGGTGTTTTTTCTGTTTGTTCACATTATGGTTTAGACTTTGATTTTGTCGTTAGCTCTTCAATGTTGCATGGAAGACTGGGACAACACCTGTGGAGTTAAAAACCGATGTGGTGTTTTCTATTTTTAAAGATTAAGCCAGAGAGCTGGGATCAAGTTTTTTTCTTTATATTTTTATAAATGCTTTATTCAATATTCAAAGACATTTTAACATACAAAACAATTAAAATTCATGAAGAAACAGACAAGAGAAACCCCTGAAAAACCACTGAAGAACCAAGACACCCAAAGTGACATTTAAAACCACAAAACCTTAACATGTATAACTATAAAAGAGAAAAACTAAATGTTTAAACAGTCCTAAGGCAATGATAATTTACATCTTAGGTCCATTGTTTTCCTCGTCCTGAGATGTTACAAAGTTCTTAAAAACAGTCACTAGGGATTTGTTTATGTTCCAGAACAACTTTAGCTCTTGTTTTCCATATGTGTGTATTGGCAACACTCATCAGCAGCCGAAATAAACGTCTGAGTCTGTAAAGTTTGCTTTAAACCATCTATAAAAGACAGATCTTGTATTTATTTCAACTTTAAAGCCTATAGATGTCTAGATATAATTGGTTGTGATGAAGAAATTGTAGTTTTTCATTTAACGCTCAACACCGGTGAGTAGGTCACAGACGGGGAGGCTTTATGAATGTGCAGACCTTGTCCTTTTTATGTCAGTCCTCAGTGTTTGTCCTAATTCTGTTAACTAAAATCCACATTTTGAACAGTATTTACAATAGGGCTGCAACAACAAATCGATAAAAATCGATTATTAAAAGCGTTGGCAAGAAATTTCATTATCGATTCGTTGTGTTGCGTGATTTAAACGTCTGTCGCCATGTCACGGAGCCATTTACATCACCCGCAGAGTGTTGTCAGTGCTGGCTGACCCAAATAAAGTTTGGGAAGAAAAAAAAACTGTACCTGTAAAGATCTGCCCTCTCTGAGACTCAAGTTAAAGTAGAGACTTCAGAATTTAAACCAGTTTTTAAATTGTGCTTTTAGGCCAAGTAGATCTGAAGTTATGATAAAAAAATAAATGCTACATTTTATTCTTTTAAGACGGTCTGATTTGATGCGAGCCGTGTCACAATGAGGAAACGCGTGCAGGGAGGGGGGCACCTAAATCCACCGTTTGTTTCCTCCTCTCAGGCCAAAAGTATAAAAACCCTCCAGTTTTTTCTGACTGAGGCTCAAAGTTATTTGTTGATCAGCAAAAAGGTTCAGGACAAAGGAAGAAAAAATAGACACGATCGAGCAGCAGGTCTACCTCAGTAGGAGAGTGGGGGTGGGGCTGTTTCAGAACCGCTTATTGGGTTGAACAATATTTTAGTATTTTAGTCAGAAAGAACCAACAACAAGGAAGCAAAAAGTAAAGAATTAGAAAAAAATTATAAATGTTAAATGTAGATAAATTCTAATTATAATAAATTAATAATAGTTTTACATCTAAAAATGATTTTATTCTTTTAATCTATTTTCTTCATTCAGCAACCTGTTAAATTTCTGTTATGTTTCATGCATGAGAAATGCATGTTTTTTCATTCGGTATTGTAAGACAACTGGCAAAATAAATAGTTAAAATATTTATGATGTGCTTCTGTTTTTTTAATTCAGGAGATTATAAAACAATCCTTCATGTCATGAAAGACCCTCTTGATTCAAGAGAAAACTCCAGTTTTTAAGAAAATGGCTGCTTATCAATTAATAGTCAATAAAATAAATCAACTTCAGATTAATTAATAACTTGCATCCCTAATTTATACAGGAATGAAATTAATTTATATCTACTCATATTCATGTAATTAAGTGTTTTAATGATTTGGCCAATTAATCAAAAAATAATCAACAGATTAATCGATAATTAAAATAATCGTTAGTTGCTGCTCTAATTTCTAATAAATCACTAAATCAGTAAAGTAAAAATAATAGTTACAGTTTAGCCCCATCCTACTTAATTCTTGTGGCAATTGATAGCATTGATCTGTTTTATAATTTAGGTGCGTTCTAATGAGTCCATGGAAAGTGCTGATTTGCAGAGTTCAATGGGGTTTTTGGCTAACCAAAAGCGCTTTAACGTGGCCATCACTCGCTCTAAAGCTCTGCTCCTGATTATTGGAAACCCCCACATTCTCATTCGGGTGAGTGGAGGATGAAAATACCCTTTTAGTCTCGCTTTTAAATATGTATTTTTACTCCTAATTAATACAAGTTACCCATCGTTTTAAAATTGTCTGAATGTTGCCCTTTGTTTCCAGGATCCGTGCTTCAGGGCTCTACTGCAGTACTGTTACAATAATGGGGTGTATCTGGGTTGTGATGCCCCGCTCTTCCTGAGGGACACTCAGAGGTTTGTGTCATAGACTTATATAATATTCTCTATTTGTGATTCAGGCTGTACAGATAAGGGTTTTTAATGTAAGACATTCTTCAGTCACTTTCCAGTCAAATTCAATCAATTGAATGAATAAAGCTGAATTACAGCAAAACATGTGAGAGTAACAAGTTTGTTTCCACAGAGCTGCAGAGTAAAGGTGAAGCGAGATGGCATCATTAATGGTCTACTTCAACAATGTTTTTGTTTTGTTTTTACATTTATGTCTAATCTCTACTGCTTTCAAATTATCTGTATATTTTGTTCATTTTTTTTTCCGTTGGAGGCCAAATTTGTTCTATTAGAGTTAGAAATAAAGATTTTGCTTGTGTATTCCTTTGTTTTTGTTTTTTTATTTGCCTGACTATTACGATTAGATTAGTCTTGCTATGTTCAATGTGGAGGGGATCTCATTTCATCTCTTATGAGCAACACAAAATGGATCCGATACAAAATTGAGCTTAAGTTGGGAGCATTAGCTTTCACAGATGTCTGCAGATATCAAGTCGTCTGCTCACATCAGCATGGCAGCGTCTGCTCTTAAAAAGGCTCAGAGACTGGATGTGACAACTGAGTGCTATTGGCAGTCTGTGCAGTGGCTGTCAGTCATCCTGGAGCCCAGCAGGACTGAGAAGGGAGTGTGGGGTCAGGAATAAAAGGGAAGGCTTCAGTGTTTTAAGTTAATAGTCTCTTATGGACAAGAGGAGACAGCTTTTAAGTTTATGCTGTGAGGGAGCCCAATCAGACAGCCAGTCCTCCTCCCTCTCTTTTCAAACAAATGCTTGTCTTTGATGTGCTGTCTCAGGTGCTTATTGTGCCATCCCAATCTGCTACTGCAGACTGCATCTTAGCAACAACACTAAACATTGTTTTGATATTCAAATGATTTTACGCTCAAGCGAAAGACATTAGGTTTTATCTTTTCCATCTGGTCATTGAAGCAAAGACCTGATCTAATATGATCTTGTAAAATGTTGGAGTCAGCTCTGTGTGATTTAAGCTAATTGATTACAAAATAAGTTTTTTTAAATTAGTTTTGTTTTAAAGATGGTGGTGCTTATAGATGAAAGGACAAAATGTCAGGATTTTAAAGTAACAATGTATAGGGGGATTTTATCAGTCTCAGTTTATCCTTAGTTGATTAAAAACCAGAAAAGGTACTGAGGAAGTTGAATTTCTGGGAACAAACATACAGTTTTGAAAATGGCGGTCACATTCAACAATTTTTATCGAAATTTTGAGCATGGTATTTTCCAGGATGAAATGAAAGAATGTCCATTTTTCAAATTTCAACCATTGCAAACATTCCCTTTTTTTTAAATGTTATTTTCCATTATTTAACCCTGTAAATCCCATTGAGATCACAGATTGAACCAGGACCTTCTTGCTGTGAGGTATCAGTGCAAACCACTGATCCATCCTGCTGCCTTTATTTTTGTCCTGTTGTATGACAAGCTAGACTTCACACCTGCATCTAAAATCTGTTGAAAACTTTTGGTGTCTTGAATAGTTCAGCAGCTAAAATCAGAATATAGAAACAAAAAAAAAAACATTTAATTTTAACACTTATTATGTTTGTTTAGCATAAGACTTTTATTAACATGTTTTAAACACCATTCCCACTGAAAAACAAAGGCAGCAAAAGCTCACCTGTTCTACTGTAGAGCAAAGGGTATCCTGAAGCAGCAGTACTAAGTGAAAAGTTATTACTCCTCGAGAAGTTTGTCAGGACATGTCAGAACATTTTGTATTGTAATTTGTTGCTTATTGCGCTGTCTGAACCTTGCTGCCAAGTAAATGATCTTCATGGAAATGATACAGCAGTGGCCTCATTCAGAAAGATAATCTACTCTGCCACACAGGAAAAAAAAAAATCAAACGATTGACATAAAACCAGTTATTAGTGTTCAAACTGTCCAGATCTTGAGACGGCATGCACAAGTTTAGTTGAGTCCTGAGGACATACAGTATGTTCGATTTTATTTATTTAACCTTTATTTACCAAGGGAAATCCCATTAATATCACAAATTGTTTAATGCAAGGGAGGCCTGGGCTCGAAGGCAGCCTAAGCATGCAAGTTTTTTTTTTTTTTTTTTTGTGGGAGGAAACCATAAAAAATCCACATAAACATGAGAATATGCAAATTCCACACAGAAAGACCTCTTGTTCCAACCAGGGATTGGATCCAGGACCTTCTTGCTGTGAGGAATCTGAGCCATTGTGCTGTTTTTAAAGAAGTTTAGATTTGTTTACTGTAAGATCCAGATATTTCTTGTGATATAGGATGGTTTTTGGCCCTTTTTTGACAGTCCAGGGTTTAACCGTTTACCTCGCCCATCTGTCACCTTCTCATTCACTGACATTAGGGCAGGCCGTCCATTATCAAGACAGACATACTGTCTACATGGCTACCATTAGCCACAACAACAAACCCCTGCTGGGCCCCTGGCAAAGCAAGCTTGTTAAATGTGTGGACGCATTGTTCTTCCAAATTGGTCTGGGACACTTAATTGCCCAGTTAGTCACCTTATGGGTTGAAGCCATCTAAACACCAATCTGAAAGCAGCCTCCACTCATCAGATGGAGCATGTTGTAAAATGTCTCTTAGCTCTGGCTGGTTACATATTCATTGTTTTTCAGGGCCACATAAATAAGGTGAGGGCCAATCAGGGATGGCCTTAGTTTGACTGATTTAGTGAAGTCAGAGACCTCTCTAATCCAAGAGGCAAAAGACCCAGAGGGATCAGTCGTAGATTACCATCTAAATCTGGAGACAGACAGCATTCAAACAAATATGTTCTAATGTAAGGTTGTTGGGTTAGGAAATCTAAATACTTGAAACAGAATGGATGAAAGAGATGTTTGAACTGCACTGTATAAATCTAACAACAAAGCATTTTGCTGTTATTTAACAAAAAAAGCACTAGCTACTCTGAATAATGTAGACTTTATTCATGCATTGCATGTATAATAAATTTGCAATATTATACACGTTTGAAGTGCTTTATATGATCTGTTTGCATGGATACAAGTGTTTTCTAGAGCTTTATATGTGACCCTGATATGACAGTCAATAGTATTACAGAAAAGTATTCTCTTCTATCAAGCAGATTAGTAAACGAGGTAGGATATTTAAATAGACTGTTCTGCCAATCCAGTCCTTAAGGTGCTCACTGTTTTCTTCCACCCAGAGAAATGTCTCTGATACAAATTAAACAATGTGATAATTATTATTTTAGTTTAGTTGGTTTTGTGAATCGTTTTTAATTTTCACAAGCAAATGCAGCAGATTTGTGTTGCTGGTTTTCACTCATTGAATCTGGAGTGTGATTGCCCATAACCCCCCTCCTGCTCACACACCCACTATCAGCTTACTGCTCCCTCTCTCTGTCTGCAGAGATCACAAAACAAGCTGTTGTCTCCAAACACATCGTCTCTAAGTCTTTTGATAGGTAGTTGATAACAGACTGGCAGACTGATGGGGGGCTCACCTTGCTGTATATAAGGAAACCTGAATAAACAGCAAAGTCTCCACAGAACATCAAGAGACACACGGCTGCAGTGGAAGTTCTTTCATTCACCTTATGCGCTGTTGAGACTTTAGTAACTTTGTCAACATGGCTGTGTTCTTCGCTGTGGTTCTCGTCACTGTGACATCCTCATCCTTGGCATTCGACATGAGTCAGTCCACTCGTTGCGTCACCATCCCGAACCAGATGAGAATCTGCAAAGACGTTGGTTACTCTGAGATGCGGCTGCCGAACTTTTTAGGTCACAGTAACCTAGGAGAGGTGGTTCCCCATTCAGAGGACTGGAGGTCCTTGTTGCAAACAGGCTGCCACCCTCAAGCGCAGACCTTCCTCTGCTCAATCATTGCACCTGTCTGCCTTGACACGTAAGTACGATAGTTTAAGTTTCTAATTTGACTATCTAAATAAAGCAGTGAATTAACTTTGTTCACATTTACCCATCAGTTTTATCCAGCCTTGCCGCAGCCTGTGTGTGGCAGTGAGAGACAGTTGTGCCCCAGTGCTGGCTTGCCAGGGTCACCTGTGGCCTGAGGCTTTTGACTGTGACCGCTTCCCAACTGATGAAGATATATGTCTAAGTCCCCATGGAAAATTCAACCACTTTTTCAAAGGTAGTGACCACAATTGCTAAAATGCTGGTTTAATAGTTTTGTAATTGTGTTTTAAACTTAATGGTCTTTTTGTGTTTATGAAAATCCTTTTTTTATATATATTTTTATATATTTCCTTCCTTTTAATCACAGATATACCTAAACCGGTTTGCCAAAACTGCCCCTTTGTAGAAGCATCTCCAGCAGTGAAAACAGTCCTAAGTGCCTTTTGCCACTATGACTTTGGTATGTTTTAATATTCTCGCAGAGCACTCTAAACGTTTCAGATTTTACAGTTTTATACACAACTTTCAGGTTTTCACTCATCATCCTGTTCTCTCCACAGCTGTGACTGCCAAACTCCACCGTCTTCGTCGCTCCACAGGAGAGCCGGAGTTTCAGGTGGAGGGTCGAGTTGAGTTCATCCGTCAGGGCCCACTATTGCCTTACGACACCCAGCATCTGCTGCAGGAGTGGCTCCTCATCAACCTCCGATGTGCCAGTGCTTTAGTGCGTCCAGGACGCTCCCAGCTGTACGTGCTGACAGGCTCTGTGCTGCCTAACGGCGCTGTCGCTCTAACTCATCTTTTTCCCTGGCACAAAAAGGATGCAGGCATTGCCTTGGCCACTCGCAAGTGGAAGCACCACAGGTGTTGAAAAACAATTGTCAGAATTTAAAGTGCCTGTCAAAATGATCTTTTTTTTTACTCCTGGCATGTCTTGTACTCAAAACTGTAAATAAATCAAAGTAAATATATGTTTGACATTTTTGTGTAACGTAGTCTATAAAAACGACATTAAATATTGGTGAAAAAGAAATAAAACTTGCTTTGTGAAGTGTAAGATTTTTCACTTTCATCCTAGATGTATCATGCACAGTTTCTCTGTAATTCACATTAAAAATGTCTTCACAGCAAAAAGCAAAGGCATGCATTGAAGTGACTCCGCATACGAACGGTTCTGAATGACTCATGACTATTTGCAGCAGATGGTCTTCACAAAGTGGCGTTAATGAGAAGATAAATGATCTAATTTCCATATGAAGAGCCTGGTTTTCAGGACAACAGATCTCAAGTTGAACAAGGAGCATGTTCATGATTTTGGTTTTACCATTTTGTTTCACAGAGTTTCATTTACAGACAATGAGCTTTTTCTAATTTTAAAATGAGTATTTGAAAATTATAAATCTATTAAGCACTAAATACATGAGTGAGAAAGAAGGGATTTTAAAAATGTGCCTTTTATTTAACCAGGCAAATCCCACTGAGATCGCAGCTCCTATTGCAAAGCTTAGGTTATGCATGTTTTAAATTGTGGAGGAAACCAGAATACCCAGGGAAAAACCCACACAAGCACAAGGAAAATGTGCAAGATTTTGTTTAATTTAGTTAAAACCTTGTTTAATTTTTTTTTATCAGACAAAAGGTTCAGTACAATGTCATGCTTTTTGTTTTGTTATTTTCTGTTAACGATTCATTTGACTGATTCTTAAATATGTTTGGTGTAAATTTGACCATCTACTTTTAGTTTAGTTTGTCAAATGCATTTCTAACTGAAAACCAAATGTCAACGTTTTTTAAAAAAAGTTAAATTTATGTATTTCTTTCAACCCAAGAACGTTTTACATGAGTGATTAGACTAAAAAAGTGAAAGACTGCTTAGCAAAATTTAATATTAAAATGAGCCACTGGTCCAATGAAGAGTCACTTAACTGACATAAAGAAACAAGTCAAATTCTATGTTTTTTGAGAATACGTAAGGTTAAGGGATATATGTTTTGGTCCCCATACTCTAGAAAATTCAGTTCAGTGTTAGTTTTGTGTGTTCTCGGTTACTACTAAACACTAAAAAAAAATGCATTATAATTGTACATGCAAAACTTTGTCTTTTTCTCCACAGAACAAAGGAAGAAATGTATAGGCACTCAAACAAAACGTTAAGTTTTGTGGTAAAATGATGACTTCAGTTAGCTGTCTATACCCTGAGGCACTTGCATTGGTTCTGTTCCAGCCTGCCTATCACGATCAGACCATTCCACAATCCTTCTCTAACAGATCTCTTGAACAAATTCATGCATCAGTCTTCAAGATTTCATGGTATTTTGGGTGATCTGATTCTGAATTCATGGCTTCCTTTTCCTGCTTGACAGGTCATCCATCACCAGCTAACAGCCTTAGTCAGACATTCCTTTATCAATCACTCACGTTTGACTCGTCTTATTCTTCTCCAAACAGGGATATTGCTGTGCTTTGTGTGTTTTTATCAACAAATGTTTATCATATATAGTATCTGTTGTTTCAAATGAACAAGAGTAATATGTATTTTAGGAATACAAATATGCATCGTATGACAAAAGGAATGAACAGAGTCGAAGTCGAGTTCATTGATGTTTCAAACATGGCTATGGCTTTGCACACACAAGTAATTTTACTTCACAGTGCACATCATGAAGTTCTACTTTTAAGTGTTCAAGTATTTTCTTAAGTATGGTAAGAGGAAATGACAAAGGTCATACTTAGACTACAAGGAACTTACACTAATCAGCTGTCACAAATAAGCTAGGACACATCTTAGAATTATGATTTGGACCATAACGTCACACCGATATGATGCCCAAGCCGCAGGATGGAGTGGCAACAATGGCTAAGATAGTAAAGATTAACAACAAGAATAAGCAAAACACTTTATTGAGTAAAATACTTATGACTTTTGAAAATAACTGGAAAAACTTCGAAGATAATAGTATTAGTGTAAAGCTTACTAGATTGTACTATGTACAAAAACGTAACATGCAAATAGTAAAGAAGTGACTCATATTTGACCTTTAAGTGACTATAATTTTAATTCAAAATCTTTCTTGGAAAGTCTTGGCAATGCACGACCATGAGGTTGCTTACTGAAGTGAGTAACCCAATAAAATAACTCACCAATGAATTAAAAGACTCTAGTATATTTTCAGTGTTAGTCTGTGCCATGTATTTATTCCATCATTTCCAGAACTAAAGTCTTTGATGACAATTTTGCAGAATGTCTCTTGGTTCATATCAGCTCATTATGGCTTTGTGTCCCTGGTGGTACTCTGTGCCAGTGATCTCTCTGCTGTAGCATTTGTGTCGTCGTGTGGCGGCTGTTCCTCCTCCAGACCTCTGGCCATGAGCTCGTTCATCGGGGAGCGAATGCTATGAACCTCCTTCTCCTTGCGGTTTCTCCACTTCATGCGGCGGTTTTGGAACCAGATCTTGACCTAAATCACAATGAGAAAAGCATTTTGGTAAACTTTAAATCAACTCATACAGCAGTGCATCTTCCTTTATACAATAACAGTTTTTGTCATACCTGAAGTGTATGGGAGATTGAACACAATTGCTTTTTGTAAAAAGTGTGTGTGTGTGTGTGTGTGTGTGTGTGTGTGTGTGTGTGTATATGCACATACAGCGGGTAAAATAAGTATTGAACACGTCACCATTTTTCTCAGTAAATATATTACTAGAGGTGCTAGTGACATGAAATTTTCACCAGATGTTGGTAACAACCCAAGTGATCCATACATACAAAGAAATCAAACCATAAATGTCCAGAAATGAAGTTATTTGTAATAATGTGGGATGACACAGGGAAGAAAGGGAGGTGTAAAAAGGCATGGAAAGCCAAGACACCAGCTGAACTCTCTCAGTAATTCAAAAGCAAGCCTGCCCCTT